AGTCAGATTTTTCAGTTTTGGAACAAGGTTGTGGTAGAAAAAGCAAGTCCATGGGTGGTGTTTTTTAGGAGTGTGGGAAAGTAAAAATAAAAAGAAAGCCAAGATCTTGTTTTAAAGCAAATCATCAGCTAAAGCTAACAGATTTCCCAGAAAACCACTGGCTATGGCAAACAAAGGGAAAGTGTAATGTATGGAAAATGTACAGAGCCATTTCTGCACAGGTTGGGAGAGGAAAAACAGGATTATGGAGAGGATAACAGTCATAACAGGCAATGGATGACAAAACTCTAACCCTAAGTGTGTTGGAAATATTGCAAATATACAAATGTGTGCACACCACAGTGAACTTTTGTTTGGAAAGAAAAAAACTGGTGTGTGTTACTTCCGGGTGTGCCTCACACGTCCTGAAAAGTGAAGCTGCGGGCTCTTTGATCGCCCCCTGGTGGCTGGCTGCAGTACAGGTCAGAAACCCCGCCCTCTCCATGTAAACGAATGGGGACTTGAGTCAAAATAAAAAAATTAATTACACTTCCAATATAATTTTCCGAAAGATGGTTTTGGTCATTTAAGGTAGTTGATATCGCGGTGATATATGTTCAATTGTTTGTTTTTGTGATAAGTTTGATTTTAGCTAGTAAGTTGATGCTATAAAAACAGGGCATGTCGTTATGGTTGATTGGGTCTGCGGGAGTTTGATTCCGCGGCTCCACCTCACGACACTACTGCACAGACTCTGGCTCCTAATGACATCATTTACTCAAGATGGCAGCAGCCATACTCAGATGTTTTGGCTTCACTTTTCTACAATGGAAGGAATAGGAGACGCGTCGTCCATCTTTTTTTACAGTCTATGGTTTCTTCAGGTGTCCAAACTTTTTGAGCTAGTTTCAGGTCTATGGGATTTAGGATGTAGTTGAGCTGGAAATTTTGAAAGGAAACCTGGCAACCCTGAACAGGAGAAATAAACTCACTGTCCATGTTTAAACAAAGGTGCAACTTCATGCAGAATGCGAATGCACCAGTCAAACCCACGAGCTGTGTTGTACATGGTTGCAACTTCCTGTCTTACCTGTTCAAACCGGGCCTGTCTACTTTGTCTGTCTATCCACCTGACCTTTGCCAGTTGGTCCACATAGATTTCAAGATTATTCATATTATCTATGACAAAATTCACCTTTTGTCTCTCCTCTTCTGTCACATCACCTGGGTTTATGCGGCGTAGCACATCTATCAAAGCACCACGCAGTGCTCTGCAATATTCACCATACATCACTCTATTCGCATTCACGTAGAATTCATCCTCACCAGAGTGAACCACCATGTTTGTCTGAATATCTGTTTCTGTGTTTTGAGGAAGTGTGTGTCTGCCTAATGTATCCATTGCCTGCTGATTATATCCTCGTAGATTAGAAATACGATGGCTTTGTATAAAATCAGTCAGCACATTGAAATGAAATTTAAGAATGTTATTGTTGAAGACATGTTCGCCTCTTTTTGACCTTCCCAGTTCTTCCTTCAGCTCGTGATTGAAGTTTGGATTGAGGATACGGATCTTTTCTAACATGTCTTTCTTAATATCCTCCACTCTTTTCTGTCTCTCTTTCTGCTGAGCTGGAGTTGGAGGTTTTGTTCCCCTTTTGGAACCTTTGACCACACATTCAATAATCATTTCCTTTCTGACCTCTGTGGAGAAAATAAAAGTACAAAATTTCCTTGCTATGATTTAACTCTAAATTAAATTTATTTCATTTAAATTTAGAACAGTGAGAAGAGCAGAAATAACACGCACCTGTCACATTTCTGAGTCCAGAAAATTCAGCTGCAGCTGCTGCTGGTTTATCAGATAGAGTCAACTTCTAAATATGGAAAGATAAATTTCAATAAAAACTGTTACCATTGACTGGCATGATGGTGCACTGTGACATGCAATAATTATACCATATTCATACATTATGTAAAGAATAACACATGATGGACCATGCTGCTGTAGAAAAATAATCCACTTCAGGAACTCTGAGCCTCATAAGAGACGATTACATCCTTAAAATCAAAACTGGAAAATGACAGAGTAGAGAGTACAGGAGTCGTACATGATGGTTCATGCAGGAGAACAACATCAAATCATAAATAATTTTTTAAAAATATATCCAGCTGAACTCTGACAATAACAGGAGTCTACTAGGATTTTATGTGATTTTGAAGATCAGTTCATATCAAAGTTTTTAACTGCTGGCTTTTTTTATATATTAGGAGAATTTGCTGTACTATCTGTCAATCTTTGGATATATGATATTTAAATATGACTCACTTTCACGTTTTGCCTTCACATGTTTTTTTAATGACTCTTTCACAATGTATTCAACGGCCTTCTCTTTCTCCTTTATCACCGCTTTATTCCCTTCGTACAGAGCCAACACCAGCTCCACTGCCTCTTTTACCGTCCCGATGACAGGAACGATGTCCATGAACCCGATCCACACTGTGTGTTCTTCAGCCGCAGTGGACATGCTGTTCTGCTGTCTCTGTATCTAAAACCTTTAAAGAGAAGAAGTGCTGTGCTTTAATAGGGCTGTTTTCCTCCGTTCTACATGAACACTAATAAGTATTTGGAAAATTAAGCCACACGAACAAATGGATGAATTTCACTGCATTTGAAAACAACATGTTAAACCAAGTGGCATTTATTTTGGAGGAAGCACAAAACATTTCCCCAAAAATAGATTATGTTTTAAAAAATAAAAATAATAGATATACTGGTCATAATTAGACAAAAATGTATTTGGTCCCTCAGTAGTGGCTTCATTAAAGATCACAATTACAGTGTTTTAGTATTTAGTTTCTGTAACAACTGAATTTCTTCCATCTTTCAACAAAAAAAATAAAATAAACAAAAACGTTTATCCCAGAGGTAGTCATATTATCTCATTTAATACAGCAGAAATCAGCATTGTCTATATTCTCAAAAATAAATGTATCTTACCTGTTTGTATTTAGCTGACTAGAGTTTTTGCAGCAGTGTCAGTCAGTCACTCAGCTCTGATCAGTGCTCTGTAATGAGCAGCACTTCTGGGCCATTATATACAGTCTCTACTAACAGGAAGGGTTTTTTTTTTTTAACTGGGCATTACCTTTCCAGGAAAGGAACATCCTCTTACAGAAATTATTACAACACTCTCTTCTAGTTAAGAAATCTAAGCACCAACTTAAAACCAGACTCTTCACTTTCCTTCGTGTTCTTAACTTCCAAAAAGAAAATCAAAATCTTTGCACTGAGATCAAGCAAAAATAATGAAATGGTTTTACACAGTCTTGCTTCTGTGTAATTGCTGTTTTGGGCTCTGAACATGAGCTGCATGAAGAGATATTGTTTATTAATGTAACATCAATGCTGGTAACACCACCTAAATTATAGAAATAATTTTACTAATAGCACTTGTTGACCTTTTAGACTTGAACTTGTAGGTGTTTCCTGTTTTCATTGTTTAGTTTTTTTTATTATGTATTGTTGTATTGTATATTGTTGTGTGTATTATTTCATTTATCAGTTGAGCAACATTAAACCTTTATCCTTGATTTATTCTTTGGAAAGTATTCTTGCAGAAATAAAAAAAAAAACAGCACAAAAGCAAGAACAGGAAACAGCCATAAGTTGAGGTCTAAACGGCCAATGAAATATCAGTTCTATTCACAAAAACATTTATGTAATTAATGTAATTTTGTTTCTTATGGTAAATACAAAATGCCATTTCTTTGTTCATCTCTTTTTATTTTATTTTTTTTATTTTTGCTCTGATAAGCTCCAGTCCTCCTGCCTTCTCTCTTGTTTGCACCCTTTAACCTATTTTTTTGTAAGAGGAAGTTCCTTTCTTGGGAAGATAACACTGGGTTTTATTGCACTGAGCTGTAACACTTCTTCTGTGAGAAGTGTTGAGCAAGTGATCGTCATGAGACTAGTGATCGTCGGAGACTCCATCATCCGGCACATCCGTGCTACATTAGCCGAAGGTAAAGTGCACACTCACTGTTTCCCTGGTGCTCGTGTTCTCGATGTTTCTGCGCAGATACCTGCGATCCTGAAGGGCGACGAGAGCCCCGGAGCAGTCGTGCTTCATGCTAGGGTTAACGACACCAAGCTGCGGCAGACGGAGACACTGTCATTTTTCCATGGGTTAGGAATTATAGATCCAGAAATCAGAGCAAAGTCCAACTCCGGTTGTGCACTGTCCTTCAACTTCTACTCACCACTTTCAACCTTGCTTTGATTAGGCCTAGTTCCCAGAAGCAGTCCAATTTCAATTTATGCGTTTAATTAATCATCCATGAATTATGAATGTATAGAGGTATGATGATGATAAAAGTATGATTATTTATTTTTTTATCATTGAAATTTGACTCAAATTTTTTTGACTTCGCTAATCGGAGGAAAAAAGAGTTCGGCAAAAGGTGGGATCGAACCCAGGTCGATCGTGTCAAAAAGCCAACAACACACGCTTATCCATCTGCGCCACTGGAGCTGACGATTTACAACCACTTTTACCTAAATGTAAATATACACTCCGTATTTTTTATTCCATAGTAAGGGCAATTCATACAATACATTTAAACTATATTTTCTGAATTGTTGTTGTGTTTTCTGAATTGTTATTTTGTTTTTTAGACTTGCATTTGCGTTTGTAATTTGTTATTTTGTTTTCAGAATTGTGATTTGTTTTGCACTTCACGGCCACCGTACACTTTCCTTATTTTCTCCACAACAAATGGCCAAGCAAGCGCAGACACTTACAAGATACGCGATACAGAACGAGACCAAACGCGAATCAGCACGTCTCCATACAGATATATGGTCAGTGTTGTAGTTTAGTGTCTTTGTACATCCAGTCACCGTATCCAAAGCTCGTATAGTTTTGAATGGGGAAAAATGCAACGCTCAGTATGGCCACTCAATCTCAGGAAGCCCCGCCTTCTGAATGAAAGAGCCAATCGCTAATCGGTAAAGTCAGAGTGTTACTGCAGCTGCCGTTAGAAGCGTCCCGGTTGCTATAGAAACAGTCAGATCTCTGAGTCGTGCGCTCAGGACTGCGCATGTGCACTGGCTGATCTAGCCTGAAAAATAAGCTTTTTATAACGCTATTTGAGCAAAAGTAACAACATTTATGACAGTTGTTGTCAGATTGCTTTGGTGATTTCAAATATGAAATTTAATCGTAAGCTTAGTGAACAGTTTTGGAGAATTTGATGTTTCCCATTCAAAGAGATAGGAGTTGCACTTGCATGCCTGAGAGGCGTTTCAAAGATGGCCGCCGAGTGACATGACTTGTCTCAAAAGGACTTTGCCGTATCTCACTGTGTCATAAAGTGGTAGAAGTGAGTGTTCATAAGAATTACGTTTAAATTATGTAGGGGTCCCCCACAAAGGGGTAAGTTTTATTGTGTTTGTCGTTCAACCTTAGATTTAGGGATTATATACCCAAAAATCAGAACAAAGTCCAATTTTGGTTACGCACTGTCCTTCGATATCAACTGGCCACCAATGGTTCCCAAAAACTCTAAAAGGTCCGTACGACTGTGTGAGGCTAGCATCAGCCAAAAATATTAAAACACTGTTGCTATATCATCCCAAAGTACACTGTAAAATCTAATTAGTTGGGCTTACTTAAAAAAAAGCATGCAAACCGATTGCCTTGAAAAAACTAAGTAAAGTGAAATAGGAATAGTATGTTGTACTGACAAATGCTTAGTAAGTATAGTGTACTTACACGAGAGTTCTAGTAACTAAAAAAGAACTGTAGGGGGTACTTGATCCTTTCATTTAGGTTTACTCATGACTTAGTATAGCTACTCACTGCAAAACATTTTTACTACACAAATAACGCCTTTTTTCATTCATAGTGATGTAGTAAACGAGCAACAAGCGAGTTTTCCTGAAAACAAGCTTTCCTCCGCCCTGTACAAAATACATTGATCTCAAAGCGATGGCGTCTGAGAGACAAGTCCGAAGGGACTGTCTGCAAAGTGTGAAACACAAAAAAATGTTACTAATAAAATACCCAATAACTTTACTGTACTTACTTTACTTGTGCAAAAAATCCACATGCATCATGGAAGAAGTACAACTCATGACGCTCCAGGAAATCCCTAATCCTGGAGCGTCATGAGTTGAACTTCTTCCGTGATGAATATGTGGATTTTTTTGCACGAGGGCGCCCTCAGGCATCCAGTATGAATTAAACAGGCATTACATGAGTTTATAGCACTAAATAATGGCCAATCCTTAAAAATAATACTTCTCTCAAAAGAGATTTGAAGTAGACAGACGATAATCCATGTTTTTCTACAGTGTACAGAAGTGTACTGGAGTTATGTATTTTTTTTTTTTTTTTGTTAAATAGCCTTTAAAATTGCAACAAAAAAAAAACTCTGATGTGCCAAACCATCAGAACCAAACCGAAAACTGTGGCTAAAAAAATGAGGTATTTACCGAACTGTGGGCTAACTGTATTGTTGCATCCTTCTGTTTACTCTAAAATACTGTATAACAGGAATATCACAAACTGAGTTCAGACCCTGAGTACTAACCTATGAGAAATATTTAACAGTAAATCTTGCATTTTGCACATTGTGCAATTACGATTTTTTTCATCAGCCATCAAGGAGCTTCAGGTAATAATGGAGCTAGCTAGGAATATATGACTAGCTAGCTCCATTATTTTCAAGATTTTTTCAAAGGTTGGCAGTTCTGTACAGATCATTCAGTTCAGTTTTCTGATATCAAACATGTATTCCCAAGAGTGATTTCACAATTTTTGTTATCAATAATTCAGTTTTACTAGTGATGTAATTTCTGATATCGAAAACTGTAGTAGTAGTTTCTGAAATAAAGAATTAGCATTTTATGTAAAAACAATTATATGATTAGTAACTCATGGCAACTTATGTTTTTACATTGCTTTAACTCATCAAAATAAGATGAGCAATTTCAACTTTTTTTACAGTTATATGAAATTCAGCTACATTTTTAAGTAGGTTTAATATAAACAGGTAACATTAGAAGTTGAAATGATTTGTTCCTTTATTACTTTATCTGAACGTCAACCAAATGAGTAACTTCCTGGAAAGTCTCTTGATTGCAGAAATTCTTCTATTATTTTATTCACTTTGCTCTCCTCATAAGAGTTTATTTCCTCCAGATTCACAGATATTCTTAACCTCTCAACTGAACACTGACGTGAAATACAATTCTGAACTTAAATGGATGGGATTCATTAACACTTTGGATGGTCTCTTTTTAAAGAGGTCTAAGGATTTTTACTATACTTAAAATAGTTTATTTCATATAAAATAAACATTTTACAAAATTGTTTGGAATCAGTATTTGCTATGTACTCAAAGCCATATGTACAACTGAGCTATGTCCCAAATTTGAAGTTGATATCACAAAAACTGAGGTTCCTGTGAGATTTTATTTAGCCGCTATATATAAAAATAGCCACCAGATGTCACCCAAACT